AATGTGATAGGGAGAAGGGAGAAACTCAAACGGCAATGGACTTTCATTTGCTTGGACTGAATAAGATGAAAGAAAAGGCGTAGGCGGCGCTAAGGTTTCGTCAGCTGGGCTAGGAGAAAGAGAGGGGAGAAAACACATGCGGCACTAAGGTTTTGCCGTCTGAGACAGAAGAAATGAGAAAACTCAGGCGGTGCTGAGGTTTCACCGTCTAAGACAAAAGAAATGAGAAAACTCAGGCGACGCTAAGGTTTCGCCGTCTGAGACAGAATAAATGAGGAAACTCAGGTGGCGCTATCTCCATGTTCATACCATCATTCTCATCACCTCTACTAGACAACTCCATTGCGCATACATAATTTTTGCCACCAACACCAACATTAACCACATCATCATCTACAAGCTGGATATCATCATCTTTTTCCTTTTCAAGTTGTTGGATAGAGAATCGAGCCACACCCTCCTCTTTGGAAGATTCAGATTATGAGCTATACTTATAGCAACTTTTTTATTATAATACAAGGATGTTGACCCCTGGAAAACGAAGTTCTCGTAAAATATTTTTTTAGCCAGAATAATTCACACGCACCATGAGCCATGGATTTGTACTCAGCATCTGGACTTGATATGGCTATTAAAATTACCTTGAGTACTTGAGAGAGGAACAAGTTGGGGCATGGCCAGCGAGGGATAGAGAGGGAGTCAAAGAAGAGTAATGTGACTACTAATTCATTCTTTAGTGAGGGGCTGCACTCAAAAATATATTTTTATAGTGTTTCGAACCCTATAAGTGAGGATTAGATAAGGGCAAATAAATACAAAAAATATACATTTGTGAATCTAAATGAATACAAAAACTATACATTTGTCCTTCACAATGAAGATGAACTACAAATGCAATAGTAAGTTACAATGGTATAACAAAGTATCAATATACCCCTGACCAATTATGGCTAACACTAGCTATGACTGACTACTTTTTACTCCTCTAAGTTACAAGATTACCTCCAACTGTAATAGCTTGATGTTGATCTTCGGTCCATAATAAAACCAACCCAATCTGCATTTGTATGAGTCTCAACTCGTAAGTGCTCATAATTAGAAAACAACAGTCCTCTACTTGGTCGTATACTTGAGGACTCCAACTGCAACCTCAAGCTGGGAAGTCCGTAGAGCACGCATAAACTGACTAATCACGCTTGTAGCATATGCAATGTATAGGTGTGTAAATGAAATATATATCACTTTGCCCAGTAAACTTTGAAACATACCCACATCTTTAAGAGCATCACCCCCTTGATCATCAAGTTTGGGATTTGTTCTATAGGATCTTCACTTGGTTTAGCCGCCCCAAGGATTTCTGTCTCTTTAAGATGGTCCAGTACATACTTCCTTTGTGAGATACAGATTCCTCTCTTAGACCTAACCTCTTTTATTCCAAGAAAATACTTTAGTGGACTTTGGTTTATGATTTCAAATTCATTTGATAGATAGGCGTGAAGTTACTCATTTTCTTGAGGATAGTTACTTGTTACAACATATCATCCGCATATGCAATTAGAGCAGTAGTACTTGTCTTGCTATGTTTGAAAAATAAGGTATCGGCAGCATGGCTCCCAGTATACTTGATTATGTGAACCGCCCCACTGAAGCTCTCAAACCAACTCAAGGATACAGCTTTGGTCCATAGATGGCCTCTCTCAGTCTACAAGCTTTTCCCTCATATCCAGGGATCCGTAATCTAGGTGGAGGTACTATGTGCACTTTTGTAGTTCACTATGGAGAAATTCATCAACGGCTAATCCAAGTTAGCTGCCAAAGACAAAGACTCCATTGGAGTTCTTCTTTGTTCCAGGAGAAAATGTCTCTTGGTGGTCCATTCCACAAATCTAAGTGAATCCCATGGCAACTAATCATACCATGTATTTGTTAGTTTTACCATCTTTCATGTGTTTTACAATGTAAACCTGTTTTCAACCCACAAACTTATTCTCATTAGGAAGGTCTACTAGTTCCCAAGTACCACCTTAATTAATGCAATTAATTCCCTTATCTCCTCGCACTAGCCTCTTTCCAATGGGGGTGAGCTAAAGCTTCTGTAACATTGCAAGGAATTGATAGAAACAGAAGACAAAGACGACACAAAGGCATATCAAGAAGGGGATAAGGACTCATAAGAAACAAATTACTAATTGGGTGAGCGGTGCAATTACGCTTACCTTTTCGTACAGCAATGGGTAGTTCCGAATCATCACACTTAGAATTGATGGGATTACTTGGATCAAAGGTAGGTGATGGGGTTAAAGGCATGTTAGCTTTGGTGGTCTACACGTCTTTCTGTTTCTGCCGAGTGTAGACTTTCAATTCTTTCTTTCCATCATTATAGGATTGCCCCCCATTGTCATCTTGAGCTCCAGAATCCAAACAAATCTGGATTGGAAGATGAACAAGAGACTTGTCTTCCTCATTGCTCACTTGAAAGCCCGGACAAAAAAGGCTTGGACTCAAAGAAGGTACATCCATCGAGACCAGTGTTTTAAAAAGTGTTAGCACCCAGGCGGCCATGGGGGTCTTGGCTGCCCATCGCCTAGGCAGGTGCTCAGAACCTGGGTGGCCAAGTTCAAAAAAAAAAAAACTGATGACTGATAATGATTAATCCATAAGAATTTTGATAATCCCTAAGACCATAATCCCAGTTAAAAAAAAGAAGATAGAAGTCCAAAAGAGAATTTTGATATTCCATAAGACTATAATCCATATTTTCATACAATACTAGAACAGTAAATCCATACAAGCATACATTAATAGTCTGATACACTGTAGACTGTACACACAAAAGTTAGATGGTAGAACTAAAATCTAGAATATAGAAACTAAAAATAAGAAAAAGAAACTATACAGAAATTCAGAAGATATACAGTCTAGGACACAATAGTCAACACTCAACACAACAATCAACACTCAACGCCAAGAGTCTTTAGTCATCATCATCATCATCGTCATATGAAGGAATAGGGTAAGCTTCATCATATGCATTAAATTCGAGGCCATCATCATCAGAGTTATCTCCCTCTTCAATATAACGCTCTTCCTCCTCTGTTTCTTCTGAATCTGCCTCTTCCTCCTCCTCCTCCTCTTCTTCTACCTCCCTCGTACTAATATGTGCAGATGAGGCCCTAAGAGTAGGAGTCTTGGCTTCTCTACCCTTTTCTATCTTTTTGTTCTTCCATGAACTCAACTATTGTATAATTTCCTCCCTGGTAGCCTCAAGAACATTTTTACATGGAGCAACATCCTCCTTAAAATCGGCAAGGTGTTTTTTAAACCCGTAAATACTCCCATTAGTATCCTTTCCACAATAATTACATTTAATACGATTTTTGTCATTCGGATTCGGGTTGTAACCATACTTCCAACCCGAATCACCACTTCTAGAAGAACCTGGAGAAGATATTTCCATAAAACAAAGCTCATTTTCATCATTTTCTGGTTCTTTTAAATTCAGAAGTTGTCTAATCTCATCTCGAGTAGCTTCAGGAACCTTTTTACAAGAAGCAACATTCCCTTTAATACCAGCAAGGTGTTTCTTGAATCGGTTAATACCCCATTGGTATCTTTTTCACAAAAATTACACCTTATACAATTTTTATCGTTTGGTTTTGGGTTATAATCATACTTCCAACCGGGATCACTTCTTCTAGAAGTAGTAGAAATATATCTATTCAAATGACAAGGATTTTGTTTCTGTTTTTATTGAACAGAACTCATATATTGCTTAATTTCCTCTCTGATAGCTTCAGGAACATTTTTGCAAGGGGCAACATCTCCCTTAATATTGGCAAGATGCTTCTTAAACCGGTTTATACTCCATTTTGTAGCTATTTCACAATTTCGGGTTATATCCATATTTCCAACCTTGGATCTCCACTTTGATTAGATCTTGAAGAAGGCATCTCAAAATAAAACAAGCAATCTAAAAAATAAAGTTTTGCACTTACTTTGATTGCTCGAATTCCAAACTCCCGCCTCTGAGATCTTTTCTGGTGCTAAAATAATAAAAAATGCCTTCTAATAGGATTATAAAACTCCAAATCTAAATAAAATCTAGTTGGGTGATGTTTGTATTGGAAAAAAGAGTCACCATTGAGGGTGATACGTGTACATGTGCGAGAGATGATTGTTGTTGGGTATTTTTGATGCACTTGTATCCCGGATGCAAAAAAGGAAGAAGCCAGTTGCAACCTAGGCCCGTGGGTACCAAAAGTCCCTGTGGACTACGGAAGCACTGATTGAATCAGAGAAATTTTGGGTGAATTTGAAAAGGTGTCAGATCGGCCTCGAGAAGCATGTGAAGGTACCATTTGATGCCTTAAGGATGCCCATTAAGTTTCGTCTAAATCTGACAAAGTTAAAGCAGATCAGACTGAAACTTAATTCGCAAAGCCACTTCCTAGCATGTCGAAAAATACCTCATAACTAAAGCTACGTTGCCAAGGTCTCAAATGACCACCAGACCACTACCATTGGATTCAAAAGGTCTGAAAACTCTCCAAATATCAATTTTCAGCCCATTTGGACGCTTCTGGACATAAATGCCTCTCAATGCCCAGTGACATTAGCAATTGTAAGTTTTAATACTGCTTAAACAAGTTTCAACAATTCCAGTAGACTATTGATATGATATATGACATTTTATGGAGATACAGGTGTAGAAACCCCTCAAATGAGTTAATTAGGATATCTTTGGCTCTAGATGGTTCTGATGTCAAGTTTAATATGTGAAAAATAATTTAATCACATGAATGGAAGGGATGGCTTAAATCTCTTACAAGTATGAGCAAAACAATTCTTACAATACTTCTAATGGCTTAACAGTAATATATAGCAGTGACATAAATAATGGCATCTATGGCCCTACTTATTCCTGGTTGTGTTGCCAAGTTTTCTTGAAGGGGTCCTATGTTTGTTCACTGAACACTTTGTGATATCTTGACTGACTGCAGGCCAAACCATCTTCCGAGCTTCAAAGTACTATTTGAAGAGTATATTGATCATATGAAAGGTGGCTCTCCAGATAATTATTTTGCACTACATCATCATCATCAAAGCCTTTTCCCAACTAATTGGGGTCGGCTACATGAGCAAATTAGCTAATATTTTTCTATTAAAACTATTTACTGACTTATGGAATTTATAGATCTTTCCAGGATTATTTTGAAAGGAATAGCTCTTGCCTTGGGTGGATCACCAAATACATTTGAAGGGGAAAGAGCGGGGGATCCCTTCTGGGGGATGCGTATAATAGGATACCCAGAATGCACTGATATTAGGAGAATTGAGATGCAAGATGATGGTATTGGATGGTAATGTTTGCATAAATTCTCTGCATCTTGTGCTTAGTAGCTTGTATATGTTTTTCTTGGCCATTGTTAGTAGCCAGCTGATGTATTTCACATAATTGATTCATGTATACAAATGCAGTGGAGCACATACTGACTATGGTAAGTACAATCTATTAGGTTTCAGATATTTGTGAATTGACAAGGACCTAGCTTAGTTTTGAATTCTTGAATAAATGAAACATCTATCAGAATTGGTTATCTGGATGCTTTCCTACAGATTAAGATGATCATCTAGTTGATCTTGTTTGTTTTGATAGTCAAAACTTAACATATGTGACAGGTCTTTTGACACTGGTTAACCAGGATGACGACATTGCTGCACTTCAGGTAGTTTTAAATTTAGCAAGCCTCATTTTGATGCTTAGTATAATTTCATCTTGGTACTTTCAATGGAAATAATACGATCTTTTGTCATTGTCCCTTTGTAATTTGATCGTCTTAATCAATGCTTGCTGGTCTCAATTGTGACAGAAATTGAGGAATTTTAGAAATTATTTTTGGTCTAAAACAATTCAGACTTGATAATAATCTAATACTTGAAAGCTGCAGGAGGAGCAAAGAACTTTAATTTCCTGTTAGAAGAGTATTTTCTATGATAGCTTGGATTCTAATGTTTGTTTAGTCTGGTGTTTGCCGGGTGTAAACTTGTATTCTCATGAGACACGACTTCTCATTTGCATTAGCCATGTGAGTAGGCATGACTTGATTTTTATTCATTTCCTTATATCATATTTTTAGGAGATTACCTTAGAGGAGGCATTTTTGTACTCATGGTTGATGATTGAACTCTACCCAAATTACCTACGGGGTGCTCCTTCAAGAACACATACACTTTTTTTCCCTTTGATGGAGTTGTACTTTCTTCCTGTGTATATTTCTATGTAATTACATATCCAGCCCTGGGATAGATTACTTTAGTCATTTTGAAATACTATTCTAGAAACCTTTATCATAACGGTTATTGTAGTGTTTTTCTTGTTTAGTGTGTCCGAGCAATTGAGATGAAGTTGGTGAAATCAATTTCTCGGGTTCACAATTTGACTTGGTGTTAGGGCCTCAATTCTTGGAAAGTGTAACCTTCTTCATTGATGTGGCTTGGTACAACATGACAAAACATAGAGAAAACAAGAGAAAAGAGGCACACCAGGGTTACACCCTAATTCTTGCATTATAAGATGTATAATGCTACATCTTGAGTAAGGGCACATTGGCCCTTATACATTATAGCAAAGGAATTTAGAATATACAAACAACTTAAAATACACACAAATTACAGAATTACCTTGCAGTACATTCCAACACTCCCTCTCGAGTTGTGCACCATGTTTAAACGTGTACAACATATTTGCTCTTTAAGAACTTATGTCTATCTTTTCTCAATCCCTTTTGTCAAGATGTCAACTATTTGATGTGTGGTCCCAATAAAATAAGCATCTATCTCCTCGCCTTCAATTTTCTATGAACAAAATATAATCTGAATGTGTTTAGTGCAATCATGAATTACTGGATTTGCTGAAATTATCTCAGCACTCTTCTTGTCACAGTAAAGTGTTGATTTGCATATTTTTGGCCCAAGAACAGAAGCAGTGTTCCGTATCAATTAAATCTTAGAAACTATACCTGCAAGTGCTCGATACTCAGCCTCAGTACCAGACCTTGCAATTATTTTTTGTTGCTTACTACTCCATGAAATTAGATTTCTACCAAAATAAATATAATAATGTGAAACTGATCTTCTAGAATCTGGATCTTCAGCGCAGTTCGCATTAGAGTACCGAATTATAGAAGCAGTATTCAATTAATTCATGTTGTTCCTTTCATAGAGCAGCATCTGATTCACTATTTCTTTTACATATCTCATCATTCTCTTGAATGCTACCATCTGAGTGTCAATGGGAGCATGCATAAATTGGTGCTCTTGGTTAACATCACATGATATTAGGCCTGGTGAGAGTGAGATACTATAATGTCCTTGCTAAACTTCTATATATCTTTGGATTATCTAAAGTTTGTACTTCAAATATTCTTAATCTTTTATCCAGAGCAACTAGTGTATGATATGGCCTGCAATCAGCCGTATTTATTTTTTAAGAAGATATAGAGCATATACTTTTGTTAAGACAACCAAATTTGGTTCTCATTTTGATCTAATTCAATTCCAAGAAGTATCTCAATTGACTTAAGTCTTTCATCATAGATCTATCATGCAAAACTTTATTGTAACCATCAATCAGGTTTATAAAACTCCTCATAATTATAATGTCATCACCACAAAGTAGAATGTTAATAACACCTTTCTTCTTGTGATAAATAAATAATGAATGATCTGATGCTTTCTCAAATATGGCCCTTTTTTTTAACGTGTTATGGAACTACTGAAACTACGTTCTTGGAGCTTGCTTTAACCCATATATAGATCTTTTCAGCCTGAAAACATGAGTAGTTGGATTCACTTCATGAAAACCTAGGGATTATTCCATGTGAAAAGGCAATCTTAACCTCCAATCGAAAAAGCCACCAACTAGAGGCTAAAGCAAGGGAAATAACCACACAAGCTGTCTTTATCTTGACAACATGACTAAATGCTTCATAATAATCAAGTCCATGTTGTTGATTAAACCCTTATGCAATCAGCCTTGCTTTAAGCCTTTTGACACTGCTATCTGACTTATACTTCACTTTATAAACCTATTGGCAGCCCACTACATTTTATCTGCAGGTCTTGGAACCATTTCCCAAGTCTTGTTATTTACATGGCCTTAATTCTTTTGCCATGGCCTCGATCCATTGTCGGTCTTTTCTTGCCTCAAGATAAGTTCCAGTGATGTAGAGAAATTTCAGAAACAAAAAAAAATCGACAAGAAACAAAGCCAAACACAAGCACAATTCGAAGAAACCTACGATTTCTTCTCCACACCCAAGCTAGGGTTGCAAAAGCCTAAGCTTTTTTTTCTTTATTTCTTTCAATTCTGAAAAATCACATGACTGGCTCTCAAAATGAAGCATCCAATCTTTTAGCCAATGGAATCCTAAAATTAACTTGAGATCCAAGTAAACATTTAAGACTCTAAAATACCTCTAAATAATATTAAAATTTCAGAATACCCTTGTGAACGTAAGGCGTGAACATTACCCATGGGCAATAAATAAGAAAGAAAAAACATAAAAAATCCTAGAATCCCTAGAAAACTTAAAAATCCTAAAACTAAATCCTAAAATTATATCTCTTGAAATTAAATAAAAATTAAAAATTAAATTTTTTTTTCTAGATCATTCTCCTTGGACAAAACGCATCCTCGAGTTTTGAAGTGTGTTAAGATGAATACAACATCAAGACCACCTTCTTGAACCTTCTTTTTCTTTTCCTTCTTCAACCTTCTTTTTCTTTGTCGGCTAAAACAATATTCGCGGTAAAAAGAATTCCTCAAGAAACGGATCCTGATATCTATATTGGGAAATCGAGGCTAATTTATCAAATTCAGTTATCCTTGAACTCCCATTCAAAATAATGCATGACACTCCAAACTCAATTTTCTTTTCTTTAGAGGCTTTCTCGACATTTATTTCATTGTTCTCTAAATCCAGAGCCACATTTTACAGATTCTGAGTTGACCATGCCTCCACTACACTACTCTGATTCTAATACCCTAAATTTCTTTAATGCTTTATCCCTTTGATATTAATGAGATCTTCAAAGGCCATGATTTGGACCAGTCCTTCTGCAGTCTTCTCTCCATATTCTTTACCCTCTCCCGAAATATCTTCATCATCTTGATCCTTATAATAGATAGAATTTCCTAAGAGATCTTATTGTTCATCTGAGTATATATAGAAGATTGTTTGTGAATCCCAATCTACAACTTGTTGATTTATGATGCAATCTGTGTCAAAATCAAGTCTTCTATCACTATCCTCATTACTTGACTTCGGATGCGGAGTGCAAAAGTAAAAAAACTTGTACCCCAGATCCTATTGGGCTGAAAGGTCACACTCTTGCCCATTATTGAGGCTCGCGAACTACTGCATCAGTTGCTGTACTTGCCTTTCAAGTTCATCTATTCTGTCATCTCTGGGATCACGGAGCGGATCTATGAAACCCCCCTTGCACGACCCCTTTTTTCTCCCATGGGATTGTTGAAATCACAATTCCTAGGCAGATCAACAAAAAATCAACATTGTTGTTGATATAGGACACAAAACTTGACGCAACAGTATTGTCCTATAGTAACATGCTACAATTCCATGTTGCAGTACATGCTACAATACTATCCTTATAGTGCTACAGTACCTTCCATGCAGATCGCGGTTCTTATATCCAATTTGATGTAGAGAAATTTGAAAAACAAAAAAAATCAGCACGAAACAAAGCCAAACATAAGCTCAATTCGAAGAAACCTAGGGTTTATTCTTCACATCCAAGTTAGGGTTGCAAAAGCTTAAGGTTTTTTTTACTTTCTTTCAATTTTGAAAAATCACGTGACTGCCTCCCAAAATGTGACATCCAATCTTTTAGAAGTCTATGAAATCCTGAAATTAAGTTGAGATCCAAGTAAATATTTAAGACTCTAAAATGCCCCTAAACAATATTAAAATTTTAGAAATATCCGTGTAAACACTATTGCATGAACAATACCCATGAATAGTAAATAAAAAATAAACAATATAAAAAAACCTAGAATCTCTAGAAAACTTAAAAAATCCTGAAACTAAAATAAAAATATACATCTCTTGAAATTAAATAAAAATTAAAAGTTAGAATAATTCTGTCGTGCATCATCCAAGCTTTTTGATTTTGGGAGTTTCACACAAAAGAAACTTGAAAACTATGACTGACGTTGTCATAACATATCCATCGATCAATTGGATGCTTTGTTTTGGTAGACCTACGTCGGTTTTGAGTTCTCTCGTGAATTTCAACTGGTAGATCTTCTTGCTGCCCTTCACACCTTTGATATTTCGTAATATCATTCACTGATTTAAGAGGGTCTTCAATTATATGAGAATCTTCATTTGGATTATGAGAGTCTTCATTTGGACTATCTTCTTGCTGCCTTCAATCCTTCTTACTTGATGTACTATAATATCCTTGGCTGATTTATGAGGGTCTTCATTTTTATGAGTCTTCATTTGGATCCTGGTCCATATATTCCCCGAACTCTTCCCAAGTCTTGGAGGAGTTTCATCAATTATCACCCTCTTAAAACTATGCTGCTCACCACTTTTATCGTGATCAACCAAAAGTGGTGTCTCATTTACAACTTGATTCATGGGTCGATTGTGACTTTCCTATTGCATCACTTGCATCCATAAAATGAGGCGGCATATAC